AGGTATAATTATAGGGTTATTTTAAAAATGCATTCTAGATAAAGAACAATAAAAGATAGAATTAGATGGGTAGAAGTAAAAGCGTGGTAAAGATATAGCGTGTAATCACCATAAAGTTGATGTTGCTATACTGATATCAGACAAGATAAACTTCAAAACAAGGAGTAATAAGAAAGAAGAAACATTTCATAATGATGTTTTAAGAATATATAGCATTCCTAATATTAATACACTTAAAACTGAGAGCTTCAAAGTGAATAAATCTGAAATTCACAAAACTAATGAGGGAAATAGGTAAATTCATATTTATTAGAGGCTTTAATACTAATATCTCAGTCACTGATAGACCAAGTATACAAAAATCAGAAACACTGTCAACTAATTCAACGTAGTAAATATTTATAGAACACAAAACTTAACTACAGAATGTATGCACATTTTCCTCAAGTACATTTGAAAAAATATGCCAATATAGACCATTGCTGGTATATAAACCAAGTCTCAATAAATATCAAAGGGTTAAAATAGTCCAATGTATAAATCCTGGCAAGTAACTTAAATTATAAAATGAAATTAATTAATAAAATGCACAAACATTTAGATATTTAGCAACAGACATGTTAATCTCATAAGCCAAATGAGGAAACAAAAGGGAAACTGGAAAATGCTTTGGACCTAATCATAAAGGCATCAACATACCTAAGACACAGCTAAATTGACACTATAAGGAATTCATACCTTTAAATGCCAATATTTTTAAAGGTTCTCAAATAAATCAGTCATCTAAGTCTCTGCCTTTAGAATCCAAAGTGAGAAAGAACAATATAAATCCAAACAAATTAGAATAAAGAAATTAACGAAGAGAAGAAACCAATAAAGTAGAAAACAAACACCATAGGAAATCAAGTCATAATTTGGATCTTTGAAAAAATTTAAGCTATTGATAAACCCCTAGGAAAACCAGTCCAAAACAAGGATAAGAAGAGGAGAATATTTGTATAAATTCTAGCATAGGAAAAGGGAATATTGTAAGCAAGCATAGCATCCAATTTTATTTTGTAGATGAAATGGATATATTCTTTTAAAAAATACAATTTACCTGATGGATTCCTTAACTAAAAACTTTTCCACAAAAAACTTTTGACTAAAACGTTTGATTGGTGGATTCTAACAAACATTTAAGAAAAAAAAATAATGTTATGCAAACCATTCAGAAAATATAAGAAGAGGAACGTTTCCTAACTCTAATATGAGGCAAGCACAACTACAGTAAAAAAACAATCTGATAAGGAATTATAAGAAAATTGCAAACCAATATCACTTATAAATAAACAAATCCTTAAAGAAAAATTACCAAACAGAATTCAGCAAGCTATAAAAAGATAATACATCATCACCAAGTAAAGTTTATTTTAAGATGGAAGACTGAACCAATTTAAAAATCAATTTATGTAATCATTGTATTAAAAAAAAAGAAAGACATGATTGTTTCAGCAAAGAAGAAAATGTATTGGACAACATTAAAGTCTTAATGATATTAACTTGAAGATTAAGAATAGAAGGTACTTGCACTATCTGATAAAGAGGAAAAACAGCACACACACATACACACATACACACACACACACACACACACACACACATCATAGCTATGTTCTTACTTAATGGTACAATAACGAACATTCTTCTCCTAATTTCAGGAAAAAAGCAAGAATGTTCTTTCTCATTACTTTTATTAAACATTGCTCTGAATGTACAAGCAAGTTAAATATGGAGAAAAAAAGCAGTAAAACTGAATTTGCTCACAGACAGCATGATGATGTATAATAAAAATCTAAAGGAATAAAAAAACTAATTAGTGGATCTCATATGTAAATTCAGTGAGATTATAGGATATATACAAAAATCAGCTATATATTTATACTTTTATGTACCAGTAATGAAAAATTGGAAAGTGAAATTAAATGATCAGTACCAATTGCAAAAGCATCAGCACCTACAAAATGCCTAAGAAAAAAATTATTCAGAGATGTCCAAACCTCTACACTGAAAATTATAAAACAATGTCAAAGAATTTTGAAAACACCTAAAAATTTTGAGAAACAAATCGCGTTATTGAATTGGAAAATCCAATGTTGTTAAGAAATAAATTCTCCCCAAATTAAACCCCATCACAATTAAAATCCAGTAAGCTTCACCCTATCCTCAGTGGAACTAGACTAGTTAATTCAAGGTGTTTATGCAAAACGCAAAGGTATATAAAGACAATACACTGTTAACACAGAATGAAGTTAGAAGACTTAAACTACCTCATTTCAAAAAATTGAATTAACTACTATACACAAGGAAGTGACCCATAACATTAAAATAATGTATTTTGGGGAAATTGTGACAGGCATTTACCTTCACAAAATTTAATTTTCAAACTACTTATTGCTGGTATAAAATATAATTTATTTTTATATTTGTAATTAAATGTTATAGTGATATTTTATGGCATTGTTGCTCTAGTCTTAGGCTAGTTTTGTTCCTTTTCAAATTTTTATTACAAAATATTCTATCAAAATTAAAGTCTAAACAATGGTACCAGGAAAACACGTATACTAAACAATTATATTCAATAATTCTTATCATCTGCTTTATTTGCTTTACTCTCATACACATACTCTAAAATACAGATATTAGCCAAAAAAAAATTGTTTTCAAGGACAGTGGACAACAGTAATGAAGATCCAGACGATTGCTGATGATCTCTCCTCAAACCTTGACTGAGGGAGGACCAAAAGCAGAGAGTGAGAATAAAGTCCCTAGGAAGCGTCAGATTATTCTTTAGCTGTGGTAACAAACAGCCCCGGAACTGACTTTAGGCTTATCTCATCAATCAACGTGCCTTTTTTTTTTTTAAGTTGGAGTCTCACTCTGTCGCCCAGACTGGAGTGCAGCGGCCGCTCCCGGCCTCGACCTGCTGGGCTCCCGCGATCCTTCCGCCTCAGCCTTCCGAGTAGCCGGAATTACAGGCGCGCGCTCCCACGCCCGGCTGATTTTGATTTCTTGTAGAGATGAGGTCTCGCCAAGTTTGGCCAGGCGGGTCTCGAACCCGCAGGCTCAGGCAATCCACTCGCCTCAGCCTCCCAAAGGCGCGGGATTACAGGCTGAGCCACCGAGCCCGACTTCAATGTGCCTTTTATAAAAATGGCAACAAGTATACACCAGAGGTGGTTTCAAACCTGTCTAATCTGTCAATGGCAATCTGCTTCTTTGCACATGGCACTAAGTGTCAACACCACCTATCAAATGTCAGCATAAAAATAATAGTGCAAACCGGGCTCGGTGGCTCAGCCTGTAATCCCGCGCCTTTGGGAGGCCGAGGTGAGTGGATTGCATGAGTCCGCGGGTTCGAGACCCGCCTGGGCAGCGAGACCTCATCTCTACAATAAATCAAAAAATCAGCCGGGCGTGGTGGCGCATGCCTGTAATTCCGGCTACTCGGAAGGCTGAGGCGGAAGGATCGCCGGAGCCCAGCAGGTCGAGGCTGCGGTGGTCGGAGCGGCCACTGCACTCCAGTCTGGGTGATAGAGTGAGACTTCAACTCAAAAATAATAATAATAATAATAATAATAATAGTGCAGATATCTAGATATCTTTTTCTGAAGTACTCTGTTAGTTCACCTTTCTGATTTTATATAACTTGATTGTACATGATATATATCTATAGTAAAAAGTCATTCTCCATTTCCTCAGAAAACAATGGATTGTAAATATTCAATGGCTGTTCTCTCCTACAGCAATCTGCTCCTCTCAAATGAGTAAAAAAGAATTTATTGCAATAATAAAATAATTACCTTAAAACAGAAAAAAACAGATAAGAAATATCATATAATAAAAAACCAGGCCAGGCACACTGTCTCACACCCGTAATCTCAGCACTTTGGGAGGCCAAGGCAGGAGGATTGTTTGCACTCAGGAGTTTGAGACCAACCTAGATAACATAGCAAAGCCTCATCTCTGCAAAATATATATTTTTTTAATTAGCCAGGCATGGTGGCACAAGCTTGTGGTCCCAGCTACCTGAGAGGCTGAGGCAGAAGGCTCACTTGACCCCAAGAGGCGGAGGCTGTGGTGAGCCGTGGTGGTGTCACTGCACTCCAGCCTGGATGACACCGCAAGACCCTGACTCAAAAAAAAAGGTCAATTAAAATTAATTAATCAATTTAATTAAAATTTTAAAAAACATAAGATATACACCCATTATTAAATTAGAAAGAAAAACTGATAATCAGATGTTCAATAATAAACACCAAAATTGCATTGACTATATAATAATCATGGTTCACTGCAACCTCCAACTCCTTGGTTCTGGCAATTCTTCTGCCTCACCTCCCATGGAGCTGGGTCTATAGGCATGTACCTCCATGCCCAGCTAAGCTACATGATAGCATACTATTGTTCAAATTAAAATTTGACATACAGAAGTCAAATATGTTTTTTAAAAGCAATATGATAACATGATCAGTTCATGATCAGTTCATCTTAAATGTCCTATTTTTTTTTTTTTTTTGAGTTGGAGTCTCACTCTGTCACCCAGACTGGAGTGCAGTGGCCGGCCACTGCAGCCTCGACCTGCTGGGCTCCGGCAATTCTTCCACCTCAGCCTTCCAAGTAGCCATAACTACAGGCGCACGCTATCACGCCTGGCTAATTTTTTTGATGTATTGTAGAGATGAGGTCTCTCCAAGTTGCCCAGGCAGGTCTCAAACTCACGGGCTCAGGCAATCCACTCACCTCAGACTCCCAAAGCACGGGATTACGGGCTGAGCCACCGAGCCCGGCCCTATTTATTTTTAAGGCAATGATGTGCAGTTTAATTTTTGTACCCCAAATTAGTGGTACACAAACTATAAAAGGATGAGTAAACTATGTAATATGTTTATGCATGCTTTAAAATATTTATGAAATCTAGAAACATGAAAATAGCAAGAACAAACAGGATAATAACATACCAGAGCAACTCCAGCAACATAATTCTCATCACAAGCTTGTCCAGGAAATGTGGCTCCTATAAAGGTAGGATGTTTCCTGAAGCTAAAAAATAGTATTATTAATGATAATAATTTTCATAGCAGCAAATATTATTGAAAAATTACTATGCCCTAAGCCCCATGTTACCCTGAATTTAAATACATTTTAAAATACATTTTTCTCAAATTTTCAAAGTAAAGAATATTTCAATATGCAAGGTCTGACAATTACATTCGCAAACTCATCTGAGAAAAAGTGCTACATTCCTCACTGCTGAATATCATTATGGTCACCTTCGAAGTACTACTACCCTTGCGAAATTGTGCACTGATGCCGGCACCGGGTTCACCCATCAAATCAATTGTGGAACTCTTTCTCTGGAATGGCCATGAGAGCTATTGTATTATCCTTGATATCCTGAATGTCATCAAAATATCTTCCTTTTGATATTTCCTTTATCTTCATGTAAAGAAAAATTCATTAGGAACCAGTTGAGTAGGAAGTGAGTTCCAGTTATTTGTTTACTGGCTAAAATCTCCCTCACAGATGGTGCTGTGTGAGCTGGTACATTGTGGTGATGCAAGACCTCCTTCAGGAACATTTCTGCACACACTTTTCTCATGCCAAAATTTTCAGAAGATTTTCCTAACTGTTTCTCTATCGACATTTATTTGGTCTGCTATGCTTCTCACAGTCAGTCGACGATTTTGATGCACAATTCAATGAATTTTTGCAATGTTTTTGTCAGTGCTGTTCACTACTGGCCATCCTGATGGCTCTTCATCAGCGATGTTTTCTGCCCCTCAGAAAAAAGTTTAATCTATTTATATACTGCCATTTTCTTCATGGCATTATCCCCATAAACTTGGACTAACATGCTCCTGATTTGACATCCACTCTTGCCAAGTTTAACAAGAAATTTAGTGTTTGTTTTTTGTTCTGATTCAAACTCTGACATTCTTGTAATGACAGCTCTGATGGCCATTCCAGAAAAGGAGTTACAAAATTGCTTTGATGGGTGGACTAGGCACTGATGTCGGGGTATAGCTTCTTAAGGGGAGCCGTAATGATATTCAGCAATAAAGTATGTAGCACTTTTTCTAGAATGAGTTTGTAAACTTAATTGTCAGATCTTGTATATCTGTCAATTTTGAATTTGATAAAAATTCAGAAATAGGATAAGACCTAATAATTTATGCAAAATATTATTACACTAATGATCTCTTTTTCTAGAATGAGTTTGTAAACTTAATTGTCAGACCTTGTATATCTGTCAATTTTGAATTTGATAAAAATCCAGAAATAGGATAAGACCTAATAACTTATGCAAAATATTACTACACTAATGATTAACAGTCTTTATTCTAGTTCACTCTATGTTTATAGCCCTGAAATTTCTGTGACCTCCATATTCAATCATTCACTAAAGATGAACAGATTTTTCTGTACATTAGATTCTAGATAGTATGACAATTCAACATATTTCTTTGATTAGATGAGAGACAGGAATGTAGAAATACGATAACCTGTAGCAAAGGTTTGTAAACCAAAGGAAATTTTTAAAAATATTTTCATGTTTCAATAAATTATCTTAGTTATTTTATTACTTTTTAATGGAATTTTGCTGTTATCAGTATTTTTACATTGTTTGATAAAACTTTTTAAATTTTGTCTCATTAGCTCCCTGAGGACAAGGCTTCTAGTTTACATTTTTTCACAAACTTGTAAAATACAACATATACAAAGTAAATGTTTATTTTTATAATTAGCATATTAAGTTATCGTGGGTTATTCCTTTAATATTATAAAATACAGAATACTACACTTACGCAAGCAAATATGCAAAATCATGTATTTTAAAGTCAGAGTTTTGTTTCCACTTTGAAAATTGATTTAATATACCATCAGGATGCCCTGTAGTAGATATTTTGTTTTCATTTGACCAGATTTCAATGGAAGATATTACAATAGTCAGTTTTAACTGAGTAAGCATCTAAAGGGAGAAGATAAATGAAAATTTTTAAGTAAATTTGAACATTCTATTAAACTTTATAAAAATATGCAGAGGGTGCCAACAAAATGTGTATGCATTTAAAGAAAGAAAAAAACTGCATTAAAATTGTAATTCTCAATATAAACTGATAACCAAAGATGATACAAGTCATGTTTGACTTCTGCAATTACAAGAGCTGATCGAAGTGGTAACACTTCTGATTATGGCAAACTAAAAGGAATACGTAGATAACATCTCTTTAAATGTGTATACATTTTTTGCCCCCTCTCCCCCGGTATTTAATACAGTATTTTGGTTATGGAAATTCTTCAACAGCATAGCAAAATGCTATAAACACCAATTCATGTTATCCATATTTTTACAAAATATGTGAACAAAATAATTTTTAAAAGCTTACAGCATTAACAAGGCCAATTAGCTGAATAATCTTCTGTGTTACAGTCTTTGTATCAGAGCCCATGTAATCAAACTGAAAAAGATAAGTGATTTTTTTTAAAATTAAGTATATCACATCAAAATTAATATATCACATTTTCAATACAATACGCCATATTCTAGTCTAGTACTACATTCCCATTAATATACAAGAAATCAATAATAATATATAATGATTTAATAAAAACATTTAATAATAATTTTAAGCAGGGTTTAATGAATTCAATTTGTAACAGTATTTATTGTTTTTGAAAATTAAATCATAAACAAAATATACTTATTTCTAAAATTATAAATATAATCCCAGACCAAAAAAAATATGCAGAAAGAAGGATAATCCTACATGAGAGGATCACCATTAAAGTGATATAGTACACATGTTTAGAAACATCCTTTGATGTCACAAAGTACCACATGTTCCAATTTCTTTTTTTTTAAAATAAGCTCTTCCTACATCTAATTGCTTCAGAATGACAGGACAATATTAAACAGCAATAGTAGCATCAGGCATGTAAGCCTTGCTTCTGATTTTTCATGGGAAAGTCTCAAATATTTCATCACGTGGTGTTCAGTTTAAGGTGATTATTCTAAGTCATGTTGAGAAAAAGTTATATATAAGACTTTTTATTTACTAAATCTTTTATTAAAATGGAATTGATTTTGTATCAAATGCTTTTTTGAGAATACACTAAAATAATTTTTGCCATTTGACCTATTGATGCAATGCATTTTATTAATATATTACTTAATATTAAGCTATGACTGCATTTATTGATCAAAGTAGTAAATGCTATTAGTATACTATCAAAATTAATATTTTATTTAGAGGTTTATAGCGTTAAGAAAGATGGGTCTATTGTTTATGTGTGCATGCTTTACCATAGTTGAGTAAATAAATGTTGCTAAGTAAATATTAGAACAATAAAATTAAGTTGCATGTTTTGCTTTGTCCTAAAATAACTGTATTAGCATATTAATCATGTCTTCCTGCAATATTTTAAGGGACACTCCATTAAAACTCTCATATCTAACACTGTGGCAACTGACCTATTCAAATTATTATCTCTTTTTATCATGTCATCAAATTGTCACTGTTCGTTTTTTGTCTGAAACCTCTCTAAGACCATAGTTCGTCTTTTACCCATTTCAATGCCATGACATTTTCATAATTATCATTTCTATCCATTTATTTTTCAACAAACCAACTCTTGAATTTTAATGTTTATTCTTATTAATTTTTGTCTTTGTTTTTCTTACATTTCTTGTCTTACAATTTTAACACTTTAAATTGAAACTTTCATTCATATATTTTTTATTCTTACTTTTTTTTTTCTTTTTTGAGTCAGTCTCACTCTGTCACCCAGGCTGGGGCGCAGTGGCATACTCATGGCAACCCCAGGATCGACCCACTGGGTTCAGGCAATCCTTCCGCCTCAGTCTTCCAAGTCGCCAGAATTACAAGTGTGTACTACCATGACTGGCTAATTTTATTTATATATAGTAGAGATGAGGTCTCACCAAGTTGCCCAGGCTGGTCTCAAACCCCTGGGTTCAGGCAATCATCTCACCTGGGTCTCCCCAAGTGCTGGGATTACAGGCTTGAGCCACTGTGCCCGGCCCATTCTTACTTTCTAAAAGCAAATTATTTTAAGAATGTGAATTTCCTCCATATTTACATTTGATACTATTCTTTTTGAAACAAAATGTTTTCAAGGTTCATCCATATTGCAGCATGTATTTTTGTAAAAATCAATGATAAACATTCCATTGAGTAGGTGTGTTACATTTTATGTATACAGTCATCAGCTGATGGACATTTGGATTGTTTCCACTTTTTGCTTATGAATCATGCTGCTATAAACATTTCAAGCTTTTGTGCAGACATTTTTCATTTCTATTGGGTGCTTAGAAGTAGAATTTCTGAATCATATAGTAATTCTATGTTTAACAATTTGAGGAGCAGTCAGATTGTTTCCCAAAGTGACTGTATCACTTTATATTCCCACAGTAATTCATGAGAAATTTTTTCACACCCTTGCTAACACTATCTTATTTATTTACCTATTCAAGTGATGTAAAATGGTAATCTTTTGCTTTGCTTTACATTTCCCTGATAGTTAATGACATTGAGTATCTTAAATGTGCTTAGCCATTTGTGTACGTTTTTTGGAGAAAAAAGATCATTTGCCTATTTTTAATTATCTGACTTTTATTATTGAGTTTTAATAGCTCATTACATATTTTTGTACGAATTCTTCAGCAGATCCTTGCAAAAACTTTCTCCCATTACATAGGCTGTCTTCTCACTGTCTTGATGATTTTTTGAAGTACAAAAATTTTAATTTTGAATATTATACAATTTATTTATCTTTTTGTTGCCAGTCCTTCTAGTACCACATGTAAGAAACCATTGCCTAATCCAATGTCATGAAGATTTTGTGCCTATATTTTGCTGTAAGTTCTGAAGTTTTAGCTCTTACATTTTGTGCTTACATCCATTTTTAGGTAATTTGTAGATACATATATAAATATACAAATATATATATTGAGGTAGGGCTCCAACTTCATTCTTTTGCTCCTGGATATTTAATTCTGCCAGCAGCAAATGAGAAAGTGGGCAACAAGAAGGCAACAGAACAGGTCAGACTGTGAGAGTCTCTGCAAAAGTGAGTGTCAATAAAGACACTCTGTGTGAGTCAGTATGTGTTGGTGGGCGAGTGAAAGTCCATCTGAGGGGAGACTTGGGTTCATACACATGAGGAGGTGACTGCAACCCCCACCACCCTGAGATGGGAGCCCTCAGTACGCAAGATCATCTGCCATTCTCGGGGATCTCTTGAAAGGAGGCAGCAGAGAACAGTTGCTCTTCATTACCTGGCACCCAACCCACCACATCACCTGTGGCAGCAGACCAGGCATGAGCTCCAGGAACTATGGAGAAGGCAGGACATGGAAACCTGGAATGGAGGCCTGCCACCAGTGAGAAGATGTCAACTGGCGCCATTTTCTCTGTCCAGGGAGGGGCAAAGACCTGCACTGCCTCGCCCAGCTCTTTCAAGCCTCCAACCTGGCACCCAGAGGCTATCTTCCCATTGGACTCAGAGAGACAGACGCTCCTCCCCCACACTGAAACACACACAGACAAGTCAGATATGAGTGGAAGACTTGACAGCAGCGGCAGCAAGTCAAGTGAGTCTGGATCTGATCCATCCTCCTACCACAGTAGTCCATGGGGATATCTAAGCCACAATGAGAACAACCCTATCAGCCTGTTCTGAGTGCAGAGGGGAGGGGCTGGAGACCGGATCCATTCCTTAATGCAGCGGTGGCAGACGAAAGAAACTTGGAGTTACAGAAACTGCCACAGAGTGAGTTTCATTTGGGGTTTTTTTTTGTGTTTTTGTTTTTTTTTTTTTTGGTTGGTTTTTTGTTTTGTTTTCTTTTCATTCTCTTCTCTCTTTTTTGTTTACATTTTCATACTTGCTTTGTATCTGGTATTTTAATTTTTTTTTAGATTTTCTGTTTGGGTATGAGTATTTTTGAGGGAGAGTGCATCAACAGAGGGTTTCGTTGGTTTGTTTGTATGATTGTCTGTATTTTTTTGTTTTGTGTTTTTTTTTCTTTGTTTGTTTCTCTGTTTATTCATTAGTTGGTATGCCTGTTTTCCCTCTTCTTCTCTCTCTCCTTACTTTTGTCTACCTCATTCTTTTTTTCCATTATCTTCCTTTTCTTACCTCATTTTGCTTTCAGAGGGCAAACATACATCCCTACTGCATGGACAGACTGTAAAATGATGGGAAGTGGGTTCCAGGGGGCCCACATACCTGTCAGCAGATACTGGGATCTGCAAATAGCTTCTGAATCACACTCCCCCCTTAATTCAATCTCAAAACTGCAAAAAGCACAGTTCCCCACCCCCAGTCCAGCTTCAGAATTGAACAAATCCAGAGGATCTACATAAGGAGGAATAGGATATTGAGCAAATAGAAGTAATCTCCCATCACTGAACAACAGAATTAAAGAAGAGGTTTTAAAAAGGGAGAAGAAAACCTACACAAATGAAAAAAAAAAAACCAAAGGAAAAATATGGGTCTCACACAGATCCCTGGGAGATCAACCTCTGAGAAAACAGACTTCAAAATGCGAACAATGAAGAGCCCCAGAATGACTAGTCTCAAACCACAAACCCAGATATCAATATATTATTAGAGAGAATAAATAGAAATGAAGAGAGATAAGAGAAAAGAATAAAGTAGTTGATAACAGATAACAGTAATAAAGAATACAGTGAATGAAATAAATAGCAAACTGATAAGCATGGAAAGCAGAATTAACCAAGCAGAAAAAAGAATCTCAGAGTTTGAGGACCAAAATATGGAACTAACTCAAACTGTTAAAAACATAGAAAAGAAGCTTAAAAAGACAGAACAAAATCTCCAGGAGATGAGCGATTACATCAAAAGACTGAACCTAAAATTAATTGGAATCCCTGCAGCAGATAGAGAGACAGAGACCACCCTTAAGCAAAAATTCCTGAAACTATCCAAGAAAACTTTCCCTCATCTCAGCAGTCACATGACCACTCAAACCCAAGAGATTCAGAGAACCCCTGCAAGAAAAAAAATGAGAAGACACTTTCCTAGACACAAAATAATTCACCTACACAAAGTAGGTATAAAAGAAAAAATTCTAAAGGAATAAGAGAGAAAGGTCAGACTACCTACTGGGGAAGACCAATTAGAATAGCAGCAGACTTATCTACAGAAACACTTCAGCTAGGAGAGATTGGAGCCCAATCTTCAAAGTTCTCAAAGATAAATAATTTCACCAAGAATGACCTGCCCAGCTAAGCTAAGTTTCATCAGCGATGGAAAATTAAAATCCTTCCCAGACATTCAATCCCTAAGAGTTTCACTGCTTCCAGATCAGCTCTGCAAAAAACACTTAAGGAAGTATTAAACACAAAAGAAAGAAAGAAAAAAAAAGAACAACACCCTTCCCAAGAATGCAGGAAAAAGATGGAAAACATACATA